CTCGGCATGTGACCCTTCTATTCTTCAATCCTAAATTGATTTCACCTTAGCTAAAATAAACAATTTGTTCTTCAGATGAAATGAAGTAAATTGTTCTGATACTTTACGGTGGTGCGTCCATTTCCCGTGCGGGAGCGGAAATTTGCTCGTTTCACCTAAATTGCACGACTTCCGTTTCATCTGAAGTGAAACATATTAGCAAATGTTGTTACCGGAGCAGTGTTTGGTTGCAAGCTCCCCTCTTCTCTGCTAGAGAGGTAAAAGTGGTGACGAGCCTGAGGTTTTGATGCGCCAGTTTGGCCACGGCAAATTCTCCTTTCTGCCCGAGCACTTTCACACCGGGCAGTTGACCATTTGGCAATAATTTCAGGTGTCCAGTCGCTTGACGGGGCCGTTTGCACAGTAAAAGTAACGAAACACTCTGCAGATCTCATTCATTTTACGTTAGAGCACCCTTCGATTGCGTCTGCGCTTGCAATCTCCCGAGCGAAGGTAGTGCATTCCTATGAAAACGCAACTGGTTGCTTCGGGACCTGGCTAAATTACATGGCCCGCTGCTGCTGCAGGTAGACAGAAGAGATGGAAAGCTCTAGGGGAGCCAGATATGCTAGAGAACTCCGAGCGATCCCTTCTGTGCACCTATTTGTCTCTTTCATTATAGGGCTACCTCGTAAGCTTGAGGACATCTAATTGAAACGGTTCAACTGTCTAAAGAGAGGGCCACGCAAAAGCAAGAGCAGCTGCAGTGGCTGCGAGCCAAAATTCAGATCGCTAAGAGACGCTTGGTTCTCCTTTGTCTCCCTTATCGAATTTACGGGTTCAAAGAAACATATCATCACTGCGGTTCCTTGTTGCGCAGGCACTGCGGAAACTGCGTTTCCCCTATCGTGCCCCTCACAGCTAAGGTTTGCAAACGCCGTAAGGGGCTTCCCTTGTTGACGACGCCTAGAGAACTATGAAGGAAGTGAGCAGAAGTAGAGCGGTAGCAAGGAGAGCAGACTGAGTAGAGGCAGAAGCAGCGTTTTCTATGGCTTCCTTTATGTTCGCCCAAACATCCTCACTGCGAAGAAGGCCCCACATAGCAGAAACGACAAAGATTTGGGTTTTGTGAGAAACTCCACAAAAGCCAAATCACGTCACGCTTCGGCATGAACATCAGACATAGCCAAACTTTGAAGCCCAATGCAACTAATACAGAAGGTTATACACATGAGCAGAACAAAGAAACTGGCGTGACATAGGCTAAACGGAACCACGTTTTTGCATAGCGAAGAGAAAATATGTGGTCAATGCTAAAATGGCAGGTGTGGAATACCCCCGCACACAACAGGAGAAAGTAACGTGAACTAGACGGCACTAAGCAGCACTTTAAGGACGCAAGGGGCACAGGCGGACGACAAATGAAAATGCGCCAGGAACACGAGCACAAATACACACAGTTGCTGACTAATACATGGAAGGCCCCAAAAGAAAACACGCTCAATACAGCCCGGATTCCGCTGAACAGCACGAATGAAGTGCACGCAGCAAATGAAACGAGAGCTTTTGAGAAAGCGTGCACCAAGGAAGGCAAACACCACCGGAGGAGCAGATACAACCAAG